AATCTAACGAAAGGGGGGCTGGAGTCTTTAGAACAACTAAGGTGAAAGAGTGTTCAGTTTCTTCCTTTTACACAAAGACATTCATAAGAAAAACAGTCTCATTCACCTCTTCAGGTCTCCAAACTGGCTGTGTTGCACTTCTCCAAGCGGGTTTTTCAAGCCTTCTCGTTTTGCTACTAAAAGAAGTTAGATTTGAACGAACATTCCAAATACTATCAGCTGTATTTCTTGTTATCTGTCTGGCTGGTGGCTTGACATTTTGCCCAACTTCATATGAAGTAGATAAAGATGAGCCTGAAAAGGAAACAACGAATTTCCGAATATATATTAAGTTACTGAAGAACAAGAAGATCTGCATCTTTCTTGTGGCTAACTTCATAGTGTCGTTCGCGTATGGTGTGTCTAGCATTCACCAGGTAAGATAATGCTTCACTACTTTTATATTTCTGATTTGGAATGACGTGAAAATTAAAAATGCGCAGGAATGAGATACTAATTTCGAGGTCAGTACACAGTTTCTTAATTTTTGGGTTGATTTTAGTACAAAAAGTTTGTTGAAGGTTTCTTAAATACTTAATTTTAACTAGCTACATATTAGAAACACAGAAATGCAATAAAAAATCGACACCTGATCTGTCACATGGACCTATTCTTGCTATCATTCATCTATTTCATCTCAAAATAATCCTGAATTAAAATTTATGAAAAACACCTTTTCTTTGTAAGTCATCAATTTAAAAAAGAGATCTTTTGACGAGACAGCACATTGAGATTCGTGCATTTTGTCAATGGTTTTTCTCCTTCGTAAATAATAATTTTTCCATCTTCTATTTGCATTTATTTTATAGAGTTCAAAGAAACATTCTATTTTAATTACGCTTTCGGTGATCTAAAATTTAGCATGGGAATGTGGCTAAACATGGGAAAGAGGCCGAAAAGATCGCTTCTCCGTTTCATTTTTTGAGAAACATAATTTCTAATTACGTTGAATGACATATTTTCGTTTTCTAACTATTAGTATTTTATCAATAGTCTGTTTTCTTGCTTGTTCTAGGTGCAACTTGCTATAGAGAAAGGTGTCCAAGTGAGCACAGCCAAGCTGTTTCCCGTTTTTAGTTCTATTTCTTGTGGCTTAGGCCGCATCTGCTGCGGGTTTCTACTTGACCTGAAAGTTCAGAAGAAAATCGCATTTTACCAGCTTGTGATGTTTTTAACTGGTTTAACCTGCTTTCTGGGACTATTTGCGACAACTGAAGTACACCTAATCGCATATATCTGGATATACTCCGCTCTTGATGGCATGGTACAAACATGCTGCACACCTTGCCTGCGGACTATAACGGGTTTAACATTTTTAGGAGAAGCGTATTCCATGGTACTGACTGTAGACGCCGTGTCTCTCTTGCTAGGGCCACCTCTTGTAGGTATGTATTTATCCTTAGCAATGATATTTCGACACATTTAAAACATTTTTTTATCCAATGAGTTCAGATTTTTAAGGCCTTCTTCTGTCTTTATATAAACACACAGGGGAGGGGAAGAAGAGCAGTTGCGGATCTAGACTACCGCCATCACTGCTCGAGCGGTAGTCAGATAGTTGAAAAAATATAAAAACAAGGATAATTTTTATGTTTATCCTTCTACTTTAATTGTCAAACCATAGTCAAAACTTGAACATATTTGATCGCGTAGTCAGCCTTCCTAGACCAATAAAATCAGCAGAAATCAAAGCCAACCAGGGGGGAAGCACACAAATTTTGTTGACAACCAATGAACAAGCGAGTTGATTACCGCTCAAATGGGGGGTGTAGTTATGCCGCTCAACACGGCTCAAACGTTACAAAAAAGATGGGGGGATGCCTACATATTCTGCAAGTGGGCAAACTGTAACTTCAAAGCCGATGTGACCCATTATTTTGTACAGTACACAAATATTGGTAGGAATATACTTTATAAGAATATTAAGACTCAAAAATTCTAAAATTCAAGAAAACATCAGGCCCACAAAGTTCGCTAAAAGTTTGATTCTTTGTTTAACGAATGTTGCTCTCAATAATTACAAATTTTATATGGCTTTTTAAATTTATAATTTCCAACAGGTTTGATTTTCATAAGTAATTGTGCAACTTAATGCGAGTTTTAGGTGACATTTCAAATTTCTGCCAAAGACATCTTTTTGTTTTCTTATTCTATGGTGTTGCTTAGGCTAAATTCTGTAAACGTTTTTAGAATATCCAGCCTCAGAATAATAACAAAAATAATTTGTTGCTTCTCAAGGTTGTTGTAAGGATACTTGAAATTCGCCGCGTGTGTCTTGTGAATGGGCTACATAAAAAATTATGGAAAATAATACTTATTCTAGAAAGCAGGGTGTGACCAGGAAATGGGTGTGGTCTAAAGGGTGTGGTCGAGCCTCAGATTATTGCCCTGATTCGCCACTGAAGAGGGTAATTCTTTGCTTTTTTGTGCTGTCTTTTAATAGCTAGTAGAAATTACAGTTCGCAAAGCATACCTTGCTTACATATTAGCAGTGCCTGACATTCGTGCTGCTTCAATATTACGGTGGTGTAGGGAAACCACCACTGCTTCTCGCCGCGCTTAGCCTCTTAAGTATATAGCGGAGGATGAACGCGGAAACTATTTGTGGAACCAAGCTCTTACTAAAGAGCCCTTTCTACTTGGCCACTAACGAGAAATTTTCCTAACGAAATGAGGAAAAATGCCTTTTTTATATCTCTAAGTCTAAGCTTAAAGTGACATGATTGGACACGACTTAATTGTTCGAAAGTCGAGGCACGATTGGATAACGGGCATGGCCGTTTGTAAATTTTATTTGAAAGAGTTGTATTTCCATCAACCAAGTCTTAGCATGAAAAAATTGATAGCCTAAAATATATCATATCCTGTGTGTATTTATCAATATATCTTGTACATTGTTTTTAGGGTTAGTGGTCGAGAAAACAAGAAGTTACAATGCATTCTTTTACATGTCTGGGGCACCATACATAGCTGCTTTTATAGAACTCTTCCTTATTCGATTTGTTGTATCACTGTCACAAGATGAGACAAGCAGTGACAAGAAAGAGAGAGAAAACGAAGAGCAGTTATTATAAAGGTCGGATCAAATCAAGTCAATTTTTAGTTAGATGTTAATGGGTAGAAATATGATAGGGATTTTTATTTGTACAGAATAATCTACCAGCATAATAACACTACTGGTGCCTTAAAAATCTTGTTACAGAGAAGGAAAATGTATTTTGTTTTAATACGATTAAAATGGAAAGAGGTACGCCAGTAATTACTTCCAAATGAAAGCATCATTTAAAACCCATTAATACTTCTATATTGTTACCTTTGTAATTTGATGTTTTGTCAAAATTTTCTACAAAAAGTGAGTCTTTTACAGTTATTGAAATTAGCATATATTTAATTGTAATTTTGAATTATTAGTTATGGTTATGTGTTAAATATTTTTATCATTTTTATTTTGGCTCGTTTTTTCCGTTAATTCCTTCTCTCGTCGCAAATATTAATGTTTAGCTCCCCAAAGTTTACCGTCAACTGCCCCATTAATGGAAATCTCTTTCAACTTCAACTATCACTGCATTTTACCTTATATTATATTATATTTTACCTTTTATGTATATTTCACACGGCTATATTAGTAAATGCTATTTATTCGAATAATTTTGCTTGGCCTTCTGAGCCTCCAATAACAAAGTAGTATATTTTTCCACGACTTATTTGAATTTCATTCGAATTCCTCGATATTTCCAATCCTGTTCATTGGATGAACTTTTCGCGGAGCTAGAAGACGATGTATTACTGTTCTAGAAGGCAGGTATATCGTCTTGAAAACTGGAGCTTTAAAAAGAAGGGGCTCAGGGGTGTTCATTGAAAGTTTATTCGTTTCAATCGAAAGAAATATCCCGGACTTAAAAAAAAAATTCTAAAAAGATACAAGATTCATTTAGAGACAGCCTTCTCTTTAAAAACATGAAAGATTTGCTTTGGTAATTTCTTGAAAGCCGGTAATATAATATGTACTTGCGGTTGTATATAATATAAAATATGTAACTGAAATTCAATGAGGGAAAATTGAACTCTTTCATCTTTGTAAGTCTGTGTCACACTATTGCTTACCAGTCAGGGACGTGGTGGGAATTTTGTTGGCCGGGAAAATCACGTTTTATGGGCACGGAGGCAGCTTGGCGCCTTACTTCACTTTCTTCTCACAAATCTGATGTTACAATTTAGACAGGGAATTTTGTAGAAAAAACTAGCAAACTGCCTAACCTCAAATTTTATTTCACATTCTTACTAAATCGACCATGGAGATTCCAAATCCAAGATGGGCCAAAAAAAATTATCACTGGAAGTTACTGTTTTTGATGACGTCATCAAAAAAATGATAAAAAATCTTTAAAAATCGGCCAAGGACTCGAACTCAACTTTTTTTGCATTTTTGCACTAAATTAACTATGCAGATTTCAATTCTGAGATGAAATGAAATACATCTTGAACGGAAGTCAAATTTTGTGATGACGTCATCAACTTGGAGAAAATTAACTTTGAACCTTTTTAATTGTTTTCTCGCAGCTATCATTGTCAAATATGCTCCATATTTGAATTGCACACATTCAGTGCTTTTAAAAGATGTATTGAATTTCTATTATACTTACTTTTAAACGTTCTTTCATGACGTCATCATCATTTTATGACGTCATCGCCTTTTAAAGGTAATTGAATAACGCGTGAAAGGAAGCCTAAAAATCTTGAGCTAGTTAAACAAGTCATTCAAAATTGAAATTTCGTTGTATAGAAAATTATATGGATCCATTCATCCTTCATCACTGTCTCTTTGCTGGAACTCCAGAAGAAAATGTAGTTCCACTCATCATAGTCTGCTTTAAGCTGATCTCCTCACCATAATTTTTCCCATGGCCTGGTCCTCATTGGTTACGTAATTTTCTTCGATTTCATCACTAGAGCGCTGCAGATCTTGCAGTTTTTAGCGGAGGGTGTGCGGGGCCCTGCACAAGATGAACATAATTTGTGTGAAAAAAATTTTGGAATTATTTTGCTGACTCCAGTATTTTCTGCAGATATTCACAGCTTTCTTAACGTTGACGATCGGATATTTTTGTCTTCAAGCCGTTAAGAAACGTTTTTCTCTGTATATCCTCTTCGTGCCATTTCTTATTTATTTATCAAATGTATGTTCAAAATTAGAATATGTAAAGAAATTGTTTTCCTATAAACCACACTAATACCACCTGTAGGCCAGATCATTATTTCCATCGTATGTCTAACCAAAGCTTAAAGACAACTTCTCTTACCTTTGGTAATGTAACCAATAGTTAATGCTTGTGTCGACCAGTATGGATCTGGTTGTAGAGCTTCTAATTACCTGTTTTTCATTGCCTTGCGAATTCTTACTCGTTTCTGCAGAAGTGTTTCGTCATATTGCCCTTTGTATGATTACTTTTGCACAAATTTGATCGCTTTCGCAAGAATGTCTTTGCAGATTTCCTGTCTCATAGTAACTCTCTCGTGCAATTTTCCCTTTCCAGAACACTCCTAAAGCTTTTTAAAATGTTAGCTTTCCTTACAACAACATTACCGGTGTTGTTTCGCAGCCAATAACTGCAAGAATGACTGGTAGATTTTTGGAACTATCTGAACCCAGGTAAGATACGACGTTCCAAAATTAACGTACTTCTCGTTGTCAATCTTTAAGGTATATTTCTTTGAAGGCTTTTCACACAATAAGCAGAAAACTACATTAGTGTCCTTTCGACAACTAATAAATTTTATCGATGAGGAAAGAATGGAATATCAAGTGGATGTCAGCCTCTTCATAGCTGCAATTAAGCAAGTATGTCGTGGAATCTTGGATTATCTTTAAGGTTTGTTATATATTGGTAAACATGAGTGCTTTCAAAATTAACTGCTTCCCTTCTTAGCTCTGGTAGAGCCTTTGGATTATCTTGATCTTTGTAATGCAGAAGACTGCCAAGCATCACTAACAGCAACAACAACCTTGAAATGGAATATAAGACAGGTTTAGTGCGGGTATAACACTTTATCTCTGCGATAACCCATTGCAAAACTCGGTTCCTACTTGATAACTTGTCAAGAACATTTTGTATTATCTGGTCTGGTTCTTGTTGTATCAAACTTACTTTCTAAAGCTAGTTCAAGGCTCTACCAGGGCTAAGAAGGGAAGCAGTTAATTTTGAAAGCACTCATGTTTACCAATATATAACAAACCTTAAAGATAATCAAAGATTCCACGACATACTTGCTTAATTGCAGCTATGAAGAGGCTGACATCCACTTGATATTCCATTCTTTCCTCATCGATAAAATTTATTAGTTGTCGAAAGGACACTAATGTAGTTTTCTGCTTATTGTGTGAAAAGCCTTCAAAGAAATATACCTTAAAGATTGACAACGAGAAGTACGTTAATTTTGGAACGTCGTATCTTACCTGGGTTCAGATAGTTCCAAAAATCTACCAGTCATTCTTGCAGTTATTGGCTGCGAAACAACACCGGTAATGTTGTTGTAAGGAAAGCTAACATTTTAAAAAGCTTTAGGAGTGTTCTGGAAAGGGAAAATTGCACGAGAGAGTTACTATGAGACAGGAAATCTGCAAAGACATTCTTGCGAAAGCGATCAAATTTGTGCAAAAGTAATCATACAAAGGGCAATATGACGAAACACTTCTGCAGAAACGAGTAAGAATTCGCAAGGCAATGAAAAACAGGTAATTAGAAGCTCTACAACCAGATCCATACTGGTCGACACAAGCATTAACTATTGGTTACATTACCAAAGGTAAGAGAAGTTGTCTTTAAGCTTTGGTTAGACATACGATGGAAATAATGATCTGGCCTACAGGTGGTATTAGTGTGGTTTATAGGAAAACAATTTCTTTACATATTCTAATTTTGAACATACATTTGATAAATAAATAAGAAATGGCACGAAGAGGATATACAGAGAAAAACGTTTCTTAACGGCTTGAAGACAAAAATATCCGATCGTCAACGTTAAGAAAGCTGTGAATATCTGCAGAAAATACTGGAGTCAGCAAAATAATTCCAAAATTTTTTTCACACAAATTATGTTCATCTTGTGCAGGGCCCCGCACACCCTCCGCTAAAAACTGCAAGATCTGCAGCGCTCTAGTGATGAAATCGAAGAAAATTACGTAACCAATGAGGACCAGGCCATGGGAAAAATTATGGTGAGGAGATCAGCTTAAAGCAGACTATGATGAGTGGAACTACATTTTCTTCTGGAGTTCCAGCAAAGAGACAGTGATGAAGGATGAATGGATCCATATAATTTTCTATACAACGAAATTTCAATTTTGAATGACTTTTTTAACTAGCTAAAGATTTTTAGGCTTCCTTTCACGCGTTATTCAATTACCTTTAAAAGGCGATGACGTCATAAAATGATGATGACGTCATGAAAGAACGTTTAAAAGTAAGTATAATAGAAATTCAATACATCTTTTAAAAGCACTGAATGTGTGCAATTCAAATATGGAGCATATTTGACAATGATAGCTGCGAGAAAACAATTAAAAAGGTTCAAAGTGAATTTTCTCCAAGTTGATGACGTCATCACAAAATTTGACTTCCGTTCAAGATATTTTTCATTTCATCTCAGATTTGAAATCTGCATAGTTAATTTAGTGCAAAAATGCAAAAAAAGTTGAGTTCGAGTCCTTGGCCGATTTTTAAAGATTTTTTATCATTTTTTTGATGACGTCATCAAAAACAGTAACTTCCGGTGATAATTTTTTTTGGCCCATCTTGGATTTGGAATCTCCATGGTCGATTTAGTAAGAATGTGAAATAAAATTTGAGGTTAGGCAGTTTGCTAGTTTTTTCTACAAAATTCCCTGTCTAAATTGTAACATCAGATTTGTGAGAAGAAAGTGAAGTAAGGCGCCAAGCTGCCTCCGTGCCCATAAAACGTGATTTTCCCGGCCAACAAAATTCCCACCACGTCCCTGACTGGTAAGCAATAGTGTGACACAGACTTACAAAGATGAAAGAGTTCAATTTTCCCTCATTGAATTTCAGTTACATATTTTATATTATATACAACCGCAAGTACATATTATATTACCGGCTTTCAAGAAATTACCAAAGCAAATCTTTCATGTTTTTAAAGAGAAGGCTGTCTCTAAATGAATCTTGTATCTTTTTAGAATTTTTTTTTTAAGTCCGGGATATTTCTTTCGATTGAAACGAATAAACTTTCAATGAACACCCCTGAGCCCCTTCTTTTTAAAGCTCCAGTTTTCAAGACGATATACCTGCCTTCTAGAACAGTAATACATCGTCTTCTAGCTCCGCGAAAAGTTCATCCAATGAACAGGATTGGAAATATCGAGGAATTCGAATGAAATTCAAATAAGTCGTGGAAAAATATACTACTTTGTTATTGGAGGCTCAGAAGGCCAAGCAAAATTATTCGAATAAATAGCATTTACTAATATAGCCGTGTGAAATATACATAAAAGGTAAAATATAATATAATATAAGGTAAAATGCAGTGATAGTTGAAGTTGAAAGAGATTTCCAATAATGGGGCAGTTGACGGTAAACTTTGGGGAGCTAAACATTAATATTTGCGACGAGAGAAGGAATTAACGGAAAAAACGAGCCAAAATAAAAATGATAAAAATATTTAACACATAACCATAACTAATAATTCAAAATTACAATTAAATATATGCTAATTTCAATAACTGTAAAAGACTCACTTTTTGTAGAAAATTTTGACAAAACATCAAACTACAATAGGTAACAATATTAAAGTATTAATGGGTTTTAAATCATGCTTTCATTTGAAAATAATTACTGGTGTACCTCTTTCCTTTATGATCGTAATAAAATAAAATACATTTTCCTTCTCTGTAACAAGATTTTTAAGGCAATAGTAGTGTTATTATGCTGGTAGATTATTCTGTACAAATAAAAATCCCTATCATATTTCTACCCATTAACATCTAACTAAAAATTGACTTGTGATTTGATCCGACCTTTATAATAACTGCTCTTCGTTTTCTCTCTCTCTCTTGTCACTGCTAGTCTCATCTTGTGACAGTGAAACAACAAATCGAAGAAGGAAGAGCTCTATAAAAGCAGCTATGTATGGTGCCCCAGACATGTAAAAAAATGCATTGTAACTTCTTGTTTTCTCGACCACTAACCCTGAAAGCAATGTACAAGATATATTCAAAACTACGTTCAGGATATGATATGTTTTAGGCTATCAATATTTCATGCTAAGATTTGGTTGATGGAAATACAACTCTTTCAAATAAAATTTACTAACGCTCATGCCCGTTATCCAATCGTGCCTCGACTTTCGAACAATTAAGTCGTAACTTAAGTCGTAACTTTTGAACTTAATATATAAAAAAGGCATTTTTTCTCATTTTGTTAGGAAACTTTCTCGTTAGTGGCCAAGTAGAAAGGGCTCTTTAGTAAGAACTTGGTTCCACAAATAGTTTCCGCGTTCATCCTCCGCTATATACTTAAGAGGCTAAGCGCGGCGAGAAGCAGTGGTGGTTTCCCTACACCACCATAATATTTAAGCAGCACGAATGTCAGGCACTGCTAATAGGTAAGCAAGGTATGCTTTCCGAACTGTCATTTCTGCTAGCTATCAAAAGACAGCACAAAAAAGCAACGAATTACCCTCTTCAGTGGCGGATCAGGGCAATAATCTGAGGCTCGACCACACCCTTTAGACCACACCCATTTCCTGGTCACACCCTGCTTTCTAGAATAAGTATTATTTTCCATAATTTTTTATGTAGCCCATTCACAAGACACAAGCGGCGAATTTCAAGTATCCTTACAACAACCTTGAGAAGCAACAAATTATTTTTGTTATTATTCTGAGGCTGGATATTCTAAAAACGTTTACAGAATTTAGCCTAAGCAACACCATAGAATAAGAAAACAAAAAGATGTCTTTGGCAGAAATTTGAAATGTCACCTAAAACTCGCATTAAGTTGCACAATTACTTATGAAAATCAAACCTGTTGGAAATTATAAATTTAAAAAGCCATATAAAATTTGTAATTATTGAGAGCAACATTCGTTAAACAAAAACAAAGAATCAAACTTTTAGCGAACTTTGTGGGCCTGATGTTTTCTTGAATTTTAGAATTTTTGAGTCTTAATATTCTTATAAAGTATATTCCTACCAATATTTGTGTACTGTACAAAATAATGGGTCACATCGGCTTTGAAGTTACAGTTTGCCCACTTGCAGAATATGTAGGCATCCCCCCATCTTTTTTGTAACGTTTGAGCCGTGTTGAGCGGCATAACTACACCCCCTATTTGAGCGGTAATCAACTCGCTTGTTCATTGGATGTCAACAAAATTTGTGTGCTTCCCCCCTGGTTGGCTTTGATTTCTGCTGATTTTATTGGTCTAGGAAGGCTGACTACGCGATCAAATATGTTCAAGTTTTGACTATGGTTTGACAATTAAAGTAGAAGGATAAACATAAAAATGATCCTTGTTTTTATATTTTTTCAACTATCTGACTACCGCTCGAGCAGTGATGGCGGTAGTCTAGATCCGCAACTGCTCTTCTTCCCCTCCCCTGTGTGTTTATATAAAGACAGAAGAAGGCCTTAAAAATCTGAACTCATTGGATAAAAAAATGTTTTAAATGTGTCGAAATATCATTGCTAAGGATAAATACATACCTACAAGAGGTGGCCCTAGCAAGAGAGACACGGCGTCTACAGTCAGTACCATGGAATACGCTTCTCCTAAAAATGTTAAACCCGTTATAGTCCGCAGGCAAGGTGTGCAGCATGTTTGTACCATGCCATCAAGAGCGGAGTATATCCAGATATATGCGATAAGGTGTCCTTCAGTTGTCGCAAATAGTCCCAGAAAGCAGGTTAAACCAGTTAAAAACATCACAAGCTGGTAAAATGCTATTTTCTTCTGAACTTTCAGGTCAAGTAGAAGCCCGCAGCAGATGCGGCCTAAGCCACAAGAAATAGAACTAAAAACGGGAAACAACTTGGCTGTGCTCACTTGAACACCTTTCTCTATAGCAAGTTGCACCTAGAACAAGCAAGAAAACAGACTATTGATAAAATACTAATAATTAAAAAACGAAAATATGTTATTCAACGTAATTAGAAATGTGTTTCTCAAAAAATGAAACGGAGAAGCGATCTTTTCGGCCTCTTTCCCATGTTTAGCCACATTCCCATGCTAAAAATTAAATCACCGAAAGCATAGAATGTTTCTTTGAACTCCATAAAATGAATGCAAATAGAAGACGGAAAAATTTTCATTTACGAAGGAGAAAAACCATTGACAAAATGCACGAATCTCAATGTGCTGTCTCGTCAGAAGATTTTTAAATTGATGACTTACAAAGAAAAGGTGTTTTTCATAAATTTTAATTCAGGATTATTTTGAGATGAAATAGATGTTAGCAAGAATAGGTCCATGTGACAGATCAGGTGTTCGATTTTTTATTGCATTTCTGTGTTTCTAATATGAAGTTCGTTAGCATTAAGTATTTAAGAAACCTTCAACAAACGTTTTGTACTAAAATCAACCCAAAAATTAAGAAACTATGTAGTAACCTTGAAATTAGTATCTCATTCCTGCGCATTTTTTAATTTTCACGTCATTCCAAATCAGAAATATAAAAGTAGTGAAGCATTATCTTACCTGGTGAATGCTAGACACACCATACGCGAACGACACTATGAAGTTAGCCACAAGAAAGATGCAGATCTTCTTGTTCTTCAGTAACTTAAAATATATTCGGAAATTCGTTGTTTTCTTTTCAGGCTCGTCTTTTTCTACCGCATATGAAGTTGGGCAAAATGTCAAGCCACCAGCCAGACAGATGACAAGAAATACAGCTGATAGTATTTGGAATGTTCGTTCAAATCTAACTTCTTTTAGTAGCAAAACGAGAAGGCTTGAAAAACCCGCTTGGAGAAGTGCAACACAGCCAGTTTGGAGACCTGAAGAGGTGAATGAGACTGTTTTTCTTATGAATGTCTTTGTGTAAAAGGAAGAAACTGAACACTCTTTCACCTTAGTTGTTCTAAAGACTCCCGCCCCCCTTTCGTTAGATTTCTTCAAGTTATAACTTGTTATTGAAACGTATTTATCCAATCGAAGATGAAGCGATTTTAATCTTGTCCTTGGGCTTCTTCTAAATAAAGAAATGTTAGAAAACACTAACCATATGCCAAAGATAACCATTTATCAAAATAAATGCACACAGATTTTACCGATGCCATTAGGAGAACAGATGAACCAAGCCCAAAAGGGACGCTGAACGAGATGAAGACTAGGTCCAAGTTTGTAGCGAATGACGTCATCAGAAGAGACAGGCTGACAAGGAATGCTGCAATCATTGTGCAAAGTCTTAGCCCAGCTTTATTGATGATCCAGCATGAAACAGGTCCCAACACAAACATCAATGAAGTGGGGAGTGAGCCAGTCCATGCTGAAATAGAACAGTTTAATTTTTGTCAAAAGTTTTTACGAAAGAGGATAACTTACTCTATCTTCATTAAAATTAGAAGTTAACTACCGGCAATCATAAGGTCAAAGTGTCGTGGCTTCGTTAGCAACAAATTAATCACGAATGGGTACGGCTATAGACAATATGACAGTGTTAAATGAACCCCTCCTCCCGGGCTTACCAATAAGGCTCTCATGTCCTTATCTCCTACAATACAAAGCAACCACGTAGCTGTAGATGCCGGCTAGGGTAGCCAAACTCGAGCAAGAGCCATACCTGATTTGGCAGGATTTAAAAAAGAGGGAAGATATATAATTAAAATACATATTTGGACTAAATCAAGCTCACGGAATTATAATTATGCCAGCTTTTCATAATATCATTTGGAAAAAGTGTAGCCATAGGGGGCAAGTTGCTGTCAAAATTTTCATTTGAGGGGGGACACCGCCCCCCGTGCCCTCCGCAGCAACATGACTGATACAAAAAAACATAAAGGCTGGTTTTCATATAACGTATTTCGATGCATTTCATCGCAATTCAGGGTCCACGATTTTCACGGTATCTGAAAACCGAAAAGCGTATTTCATCTTAATTCATCGTAATTCAACGTATTTTGTCGGGAGAAACAAAATTTTTTGATTTCTTTGGTCGGTTTTCATATAACGGAAATTATCTTAATTGATCGTAGACTCTGAATTGCGATGAAATACGTCGAAATACGTTATATGGAAACCAGCCTTAAACATTTTGGCGCCTGCCCTTCTGTTGAAAGCTCGTTGAATATTTACAAAACACCTGTCAAAGATGTTGTGGATCCAAATGATGAAACCGGTTACCGGTTTCAGCTCAATTTCAAAGACTCCAAGAATACCATTGTTTTAATGGGAATTTATCGCTTAATTCGAGTTTAGGAAAGTGCACAGATCCCCCGTTTCTAGAATCGGGTGGTCCCACACGTATATCCTTAGTAGGCTGTGAATATGAAGTTACCTTAGCTATTTGCTAATCACCTTGTCCTGTTTTCTAGGTGGTCTTGCCCTAGCATATTTGTTTAAGTGCAGTAATGCAGCTCGAGCCATGCCATATTTTGCAGCACGACTCACGCGTTGTTGTATGCGTATCCCCTTCCATCCCTGTCCCCTGGTACTCGCTTCTCCTCCTGCCTAAAGCCCGTTCCACACTTCCTCCTACCTTCTTCTGTCTCACTTCTTCTCACACAGTCATTCGATTGTGTGATAGGTGTATCAGTCTGATTGTCGGGGTAAAAAACTGAGGCACTTTTTTCCATGGAATCAAACACCGACCATAAAATTGCGTCATTGCTCAGGCAAGACAAGGGCTGATGCACCAAAGCCCAAAATGTTTTTCCTGAGATTAGGGTGTTGTTTAACATAACTAAGGGGCCCCCGCGATGGAATTAATAGCCAATTTCGCATTGGTCTAAGGTCTTTTGGACCGCAGAATTCTAACCGAAACCTGGAGCAATCCAAGCCATTAAATTTCTATATCTAGGTTGAGCAAAATCAAGAATTTAATCATACATTACAAATACATTGCACATCTTTTGGCCTACAGTACAGAGAGTAAGGTTCAAAGTGAGTTTCGTTTAAACACTGTCCTAAAGAGCGATTGAAATACAACAGCATCAAAAATTACCTGTCTTTTCCTTTGAATTATCAAACCTTTCCAGAAAATAATTATAGCAGATGCCAAAAATATTGAGGAAGCCACAAGAACATGCAGTAATGAAAACTGACGCAAGTAAAGTCAGCCAAGAAAGGATGCCATCACGGTGATCTATTCTCTTCATCAAGAGAGCCATTCCGTCTCTTTCTTAACGACATGCAACTTTATTGATTCAACGTCGAAATGAAAACACAGGAACTTCCATTGCTAAAACTAGCCCTAGACAGCCGCAACCGATTAAGTATACAGCCGATATTGTCAACCTCATTTTAGTGTCGACAGGTCTTATGCAATGGTATATAAGCGACGAAGTCGCTAGGTGTCTATTGTTCTCAAGTGAGGCAAAATCACTCATGCGGTAAAAGGGCAAAAAGACGATTCCGCATAAGGGCTCAGTACGGGACATTGCAAGTTTGACGAAGAAAAAACCAAGATTATCGAAAATCAGCATAATTTTGAAAGGTTAGTTATACTTTGCTAGCTTGCCGTATTAATTTCAAAAGTTTTAAGCCATAAATTGTGTTGTTAAATAGGGTTTCAAGATTTTTAAAACATTTATTGCTGCGGCGCTCGCACGGTCCAATCTGGCCTAGGCAATGTTTACCTTTTCAGGTAGACTGTTTTCGGGTTTATTTGCAAAAAAACCAAATATAATTTCAAAATTGGGTTTATTTTGTATTTTATAAGTTGAAGGGTAGATGTAAGCAAGTACTCTTAGTCTTATATCATTATGACAACTTGTTGAATGAACACTCCCCTATTTCGGCAACCCCCTGCATATGACTTCTAGTAAATATTTCAGATGTAAGGAGTGAAAATTTGTATTATAAATATCCATTTCAAGTTTTTCCTATGACAAGACCTTCCCTCTAACATTCATCAGCAAACCAGACTTTTATTTACGGACATCAGGATGTTGTAGGAAGGGGGCGTGGCTGAATCAGGATTGAAGATGACCTCTTTTACCACGGTTCCTTAATGTTACGATAAAAAATTAACACAAGATTTTTGTATAAGCGTGACATTTTTGTAAATAAGCCCAAAAATAATCTTCCTAGAAATATAAATATTCTCTAAACCATATCAACGCCACGGTAAAAAAAATTAAAAAATCTCAAAACCCGTGTACAAACAAAAATTATGGCTTAAAACCTTCTAAATGCATACGGTAAGCTGACAAAATATATGTTACCTTCCTAAATTAAATAGATTTTCTAAAATTTTTGGTTTCGTTTGCCAGCTTCGGAATTTCCCATACTGAGCCCTTATGCGGAATCGTCGTTTTGCCCTTTTACTGCATGAGTGATTTTTCCTCACTTGAGAACAATAGAGTTAGACATCTAGCGACTTCGTCGCTTATATACCATTGGTCTAATGTCCTTTTGATCAACTGCACCGGTAGGATCACTGCAGATCAAGCTGCCATTCATATCATTCTTCTAAAAGAGCCACATTCTTACTTGTTCTTGTTCTTCTTGCCGCATTTTGTATTATATTGGACTTTCGATTAGTTAATTGCTTAATGGGTGCAATGCCTGAGCCCTAAAGGCCGCCACCTCCACTTGACGCGCGACGTCACTGACATTCACACAACAGCTGTTCAAAGCCACAACAGCTGTTCATACATCAATAAGTCGCCGTTGTTTCTTGCGTTCAAGCCAACATAACGTCAA